GACCTGTGCTCCATTTTCCAGGTTTAAAGAGAAACCACGTGTAACAGGTCACAGAAGCAAGAAAGAACGGTCCTCTTGGGAGCTAAGTCCCCTGCATTCGGAGGACACTTAGTGCATATGTGTCAGTGGGGAGAGCTTGAGCAGACCGCCCGGCTGCTCTGAGGGTCTCTGTGGTCTGAGTTTCTCCCTCAGAAGCCAGCTGTAGGGCGCTCTGCCACCGATTTGCAGGAGGGAGGAAACACTGAGTGGGCGGGAGCTCTTTCATTTGCTTGTTCGGAGCTCCCTCTCCCTGCTGCACCCAGCTCTTACCTTGTGATTCCTCCCAAACTCCAGGTGATAGAGACCAGGAAGAAAGAGGCCCCGTACATGCTCCCTGAGGACGTGTTTGTGGAGAAGCCCAGGTGAGGGGCGCACCTGGTACATGGTCCAGGAAATCAAAGGCAGCTGAGTAAGAAGGTGGGCGGTCGGAGGCAGGGGCTTAGGCTTCTATGGGCTCTAGGGCTGAAAGTGGAACCTGCCCGTGGCCCATAGGTCCTGGGTCAAGTTCAACAGGCATCGTGACTGTAATACACACCTTGAGCCATCTGGATGTGTTGTACCATACAGGTTATGTGATGCTCCCTCTGGGAGCTGTGACCAAGCCCATGGGGGAGGAATCCTGGAGCAATTGTTCCAGACAAGACACTGCCGTCAATCCAAGTGGCATTGTCAGACTGATGTCACTTCAGCATCGGAGGAACGCGAGGAAAAGATATTCTGGGGGGAAATGTCCAACACCAGGGGATGGCTTTATCAGTTATGGCCATCCACACAGCAGACGACTGCTAGCCCATTTACAGCGGTTTCAAAGAATAGTTAATGTGATATTAATGTGATATATTCACTATAGAAGAGGTACATGAAATAGATCACAGAACAGGAAGGGGGCGGTGGTTGTGTGTGTGTATGTGTGTGTGTGTGTGACTGAAGGATTCTGCTCGCTGAAGGTTATCTCTGGAAGTGGGACAGTGGGTGATTTTTTCCCCATTTGCATCTCCGTCATTTGGTATAATGAATGCTGCCTTTATAATAAGTTATTAGGAAATCATCCTCGTTGCCCACGGCTCTCACTTGCCTCTTCCCTCCCTTGTCGTCCAGGCTGTCTCAGGATCTTGATGGCGTGGTGATTGAGTTCCTCTTCCGCCAGAGCAAGATCAGTGAAGTCCTGGGGGGCAGTGGCTACAACTCAGACAGGCTCTCCCTGCCCTACATCCCTCAGCTGACAGGTATGGGCCCTGCTCAAGGCCTCCCAGGCCTGCCTCTGGCTTGTCATGGCCAGGTGAGGGCCTGAGTGTAAGGGACTTCGGTCGCCTTCCATGGCCCCTTGGATGTCACACAAGAGCTGAAAGGCACAGTGGAGATCCGTGGTGAGATCCTCTGGATTTCCCCACCTCCCCTCCTCAGTGCAGGGTCCTTAGAAGTAACTGGCCCACAAGATAGCCTGGCTTGCGGATGGGAGAGGCCCCACTGTGCCACACACGGGCTACAGAGACCCAGTTCTCTGTCACTGACTCCCAAGATGACTCCCGGCACCTCTGAGTGTCCATTTCCTTGACTGTAAAATAGGTATATTAACAGTCCTAGCCTTACAGGGTGGGTGTGAAAAGTACATAAAATAATGAAGGCAAATGCGCGTACTAAATGCTACACAAGTGACAGCCACTAGTGCTCTGAGCAGATGATGCTTGCCCAAGTTGAGATATGCTTTCTGCCCATACACAGCTTCTTTGTGCTCATCAAGGATTTCAAAATCTTAGCCCTAAAGAGCCGAACCCACCATCCTAAAATGGGCAGAGAAGGCCCAGCTGTAAAATCCAGCTGTAGACTCCACGTGCCCTGAGCCCTCAGAGGACGTGAACCAGGCAAAGGCAGAGGGCATGGGAGATGGTGCCAGGGGCAAGATCCTGCCTCGCTCCCCGATGGCTAGGAATCTCACTTCTGGCTTCTCCTTTCCCAGATGAGGATCGCTTGTCCAAGAGGAAGAGCATTGGAGAAACCATTTCCCTGCAGGTGGAGGTGGAATCTAGGAACAGCCCTGAGAGGGAGGAGGTGAGTGTCTCCCCCAGACACTGCCCTGGTGAAGCCCGGCATCCCCGGGGAGGGCACCTGCTCCTGCCTTCTATGCAGTCAAACACCCCATGCTCCAGGCCCCCCTAACTGCACAACACAGGTAAGGTTGCAGAGAAAGTAAATTTCTCAGGGAAGTCCAGTTTTCCTACTGTCATCCCGTAGACCACAGACATTTCCATGTGGAAGAAATGCTCTGTATCCACCTTCCTCCCTGCTGCACTCCCATGAGGATGTCATAAAAATCGCTCTTGAAAGACTTGTTGGTTGCCATTCGCCATTCACGGTGGAGACAAACATGCTCCATATTGGAAATCGGAAGGTTAATAGGAGAGATGAGGGCGAGGCACACCCATAAAGGTGCTCTTTTAAAGAGAAGGCTGCAGCTCAAACATCTCTCTCCCATCTTTTCTTGAGGGCTGTGAATATCTAGTCTCTGTCCAACTGAATATGTGCTATCTCCCCTGCCATTATTACTTCTCCCTCAGAAAATAAAGCAGATGTTCCCACGAGAAAGGGAGAATAAGGAATCGTAGTGGAAATTCCAAATGTACTTCTCAAATGGGAAAGAAATGGGGAGGGGACTGGGAGGAGGGAGAAAGAAGTGAGGACTTGGACAAGGAGACTTGTGGAGTTTGGAGCAGGGACAGTTTCTACCCACTAGGGCTGGTGTGGCCACGGAGGACAGTATGGACACCTAGTCTTTCCCCAAGGAGCAAGGAGAACTCATTGGGCTCGAGATCAAGCCTCCCTGTCGCCATGCCCTCAACCTTCACTTACTGGGGGAGACCTCCAGTCCTGGGCTTTTCAGAGCTTATCTGGAACCTTCCCATGGAAGGAAGGAGGCTAACTGGAGAAGTGAAATGAGGTTGAACCAGGCCCTTCCAGCTCTACAAGACTGGGAATCTCAAAAATGTTAGAACCGCAGCATGAGTTGGATGCTACTCCCCCACCCACATCCCTTAAGTCCTCAAAAATGTTATTCAGTTCTTGAAATTGACATTTGAGATTATATGGCCATCTGCAAATATAATCTCTTCTTCCAGTATTTTCTGTTAGGTATCTGAAGATTTTTTTTTTTAATTACACAGTGTTTTCCTCCCACTGGGCTTAATGGGACAAGCCAGGGGGAGGGGATAGTGGGTTCTTTTAGTCGAGACTCTAATGAGGGATTAGCCTCCCACCCCCGTGTCATTACTCTTGGAGAGCTTCTGGAGACCCTGGTGAGAAGGTGGGTGTCCTGGGGGAGTTTCTGCCCATTGGGACATTCTTTGAGAAGTGAAGGGGCTGCCAGGTAACTAAGGAAGCCAAGGCTACGTCCTCTGATTCCTCCCCCCGCTCCACCTTTGTAACACCTGCCCCCTCTCCCTCAGCGAGTACCAGCAGAGGAGATCACCTATGAGACGCTAAAGAAGGCCATTGGTAAGTGGGAGGCCCCCAGGGAGTCTGTTGGAGGGGAGGGCAGAGCTGGGTCTTGGTTGCAAGCGAGTGGGTGTGTGCAGCCCCATCTGCTGTCTTCCCGAGGATGATTCAGCACAGACTTGAGGGCAGACAGTGTGGCTTCGTCTGAACTCATCCCAACTCCCAAAGCTGCAGTGGGAAGTCCTGCTCTGGTGAGGGATCAGTGTTGCCCTGTGCATCTTAGGTCAGACAACCCTTTTTCTACTGACTGCTGCCTTTAAGGTAATCCACTGAGGGTTACAGCCAGTCAGGTAAAAAGCAGTTGTGTATAAAGACTTTGACTGTTTTTTGTTAGAATGTGATACAGAAGAACAAGTTGACCAATGAAATATATTAAGAACAAATCATATTAATATTTATTTTATAATGGCAACAGATTTCTAAAATATTTTTATTGATTTCAGAGAGGAAAGGAGAGGAAGAGAGAAAGAGAAACATCAGTGATGAGAGAGAATAATTGATTGGCTGCCTCTTGCATGCCCCCTACTGGGGATCAAGCCTGCAACCCGGGCATGTGCCCTGACCGGGAATCGAACTGTGACTTCCTAGTCCAGGGGTCCTCAAACTACGGCCCGCGGGCCACATGCAAATACAAATATTGTATTTGTTCCCATTTTGTTTTTTTACTTCAAAATAAGATATGTGCAGTGTGCATAGGAATTTGTTCATAGTTTTTTTTTAAACTATAGTCCGGCCCTCCAACGGTCTGAGGGACAGTCAGCTGGCCCCCTGTTTAAAAAGTTTGAGGACCCCTGTCTAGTTCATGGGTCCACACTCAACCACTGAGCGACACCAGCAGGCGGCAATAGATTTTAAAATGTAGTATTACGTCTTCTGTCTGAAGTACTTCAAATGAGAGAAGTTTTCTGAATGCTGATGACAAATTTTGTCTTCAAATGCCAGACCTTTTTTATTTTTGTTGTCATTGATGGTACTCCTGAAAGTACACGCTCTCTGCTTTCTTAAACAGTGAATGATGGACATATTTGAAACCCCTCCCCTTTTTTCTCTAACTCATTTTGGATACCAAGAGGAATATGTACACAGCTTCATACCACTCTGCCATAGGGGTTCTGGGCTGGCTTTTGTGGTCTATCTGGCCTTTCCATTGTAGATGTCGCTTTTCAAATCCCCCCTAGAGTACTTCCTATTCCAGGAACTTCCCGTTAAGAGTCCTAGTGGCAGTGCAGTTACGTGAGGCTTTAAAAGCCCAGCTTCAGGGTCTGCTCAACTGGTTCTCAAACCCTTACACAAGGAAGGTCGCTGAGCCCTCAGGAAAGGTCTAGACCTGCTGGGGCCACGTGATGGCACCACACCTTCCAGGCCACCACACCTGGCCCATCAGCAGAGGGGGAGCCGGAGCTGCGGTCACAGACTGAGCTCCCGGGAGGAGTCCACCCAGCTCCATGTCAGTGGGCAGGCCCTGTGGGCTGACCGCACTCTGTGCTGCAGTGGACAGTGTGGCGGTGGAGGAGCAGGAGCGTGAACGGCGGCGGCAGGTGGTGGAGAAGTTCCAGAAGGCGCCCTTCGAGGAGATCGCAGCTCACTGCGGGGCCCGGGTGAGTGAGGCACACAGGGCGAGCCCTCGGGGGCAATGGGTCCAGGGCCGGACGGGGTGGCTAGATCTTGGCACTTTAGTCACCCAGAGATTAGGGTTGCGATGCCAGTAGCACCCTGGCCCTACATTGCTTCCCCATGAACCAAAAGACTTGGCTATTGGCCATCCAGGCCTCCAGACCTCGCACTTTTCATGTAAGAAAGAAGTCCTGACCTCAGGAGCTCCTGCATCAGACAGACAGACAGACTATAATTATTATCATCATGGCAAGTGTGTACCTAGCGCTTTATCTGTGAGGTGTGCCAGAACATCTTACACCTGTTAGTTTATTTCATTCCCATGACTACTCTGCGCGGTTGGTGCCAGTATGACCGTCACATTCTGGAGTGATGGGGAAGGAGCCCATGGGGAAGGAAAGATGGCCACTGTTTGCCTCAGGACCCTGCAGGGAGGGGGTGAACAGCGGGCCTGGGAAAGATCTGAGAGAGGGGGCCCCGGACAAGGGGAAAGAAGGGCTCGTGTCTATACTTAAGGGAGGGGCACAAACATTTCTTGAGATTGATTTTCTATGCGAGGATTTGCTAGTCACAGTGTTCCTCTTAGTCACAATGAAATATACTTGTAAACATCCAAAAGTTACAAATAACTCATACTTGATTGTACTTTTTCCTCTCAATAAAAACACGTCTTTTTATTATACAATATATATTTCTAATATACGTATATATTTCCAATTATTGTGATAACTAACTATAATAATATATACATACATGTAAGTATAATGTCGATTGGGGGGGCCTATATTATCCTGACCTCTTGTCCCATCTCAAGAGGTAGATGCTGCTCATTTCATGAGCTCGGAGTTGAGGCCCAGGTACAGAACACGTGCCCAGCTCCCTCACGCAATCGGAGCCAGAAGGGACCAGAGGGCGCATCTTCCCTAAACCACCAATTTTGCACAGCTGCTTCTTTGGAGTTCAGAGCTGGAACCAGCTCTCAGCCTCCTGACTCCATACCCAGCAGGCGCTACCGTCCCACTTGGAGGAGCTAAGGGTCCTTCAAGAACTACTTGCTGAAGTCCTCCTGGTGCCCCAGCAGGCCATGGCCAGGCGGCTCTGCCTGACCTGAACCCATAGCCCGGGTCCACAGACAAGTGCTGGGAACGAGCCCCCACCATTCCCTTCCTGAGGCTGCACTGCCCAGACCTCCAGTGTGCGCTCTGGAGGGGTGGGCTCATGACCACCCGCAGCGGTGCGGGAACCCCTGCTGACTCCCCCTCTGTTTGTGTCTAGGCGTCACTGCTGCAGAGCAAACTCAATCAGATCTTTGAAATCACCATCCGGTAAGTGGCAGCCGTGGCCCGGGGACCCCTACCTCTGTGGCCCAGCGTTGGGCGCCCTCCCCGGGCTTCCTCTCACTGTCTTCAGTCCTCCTCTCCCCAGGCTCTGTCTCCAGGGCTGGAGTCAGCCACCAACTCTCCCCAAAAAGGAAGTTGAGACTAGAGAGGACAAGAGACGGCTCAGTGAACCCCGGAAAAGAGTCAGGGTTTTTGTTTCCCAGGCTGAGACTTGACTTTCTAAAGCAACATTGTCACTGTAGAGCCTGCCATGGAGCTGTAGATTCTAGAACAACTTGAAACCTGGGAACCCACAGAGTGACAAAGGCTCTGGTCCCGGTTCAGAGAGAAACACAAATCAGCTGCTCTCTTTGGTTGCATGGGGTGGGGTCCCGCTCCTCATCCCTTTCTCCTCCATGTGCTCCTGCCCAGGCCCCCGCCCAGCCCATCGGGAACCATCACCGCAGCCTACGGCCAGCCTCAGAACCACTCCATCCCCGTCTACGAGATGAAGTTTCCAGACCTGTGTGTATACTGAATTCCAAGAGGTGGAGCTGCTTGGAGGGGTGGGCCTGAGGGAGGGGCTCACCCTCACACCCCACCCCTACTACGTGCAAGTCTAACAGGGATCTCAGAAAAGGTCACCTCCCCACCTAAACAAGGTAGAGCCCCAGACCCTCCCGCTTCCCCTGTGTCTCCCCTGAGGGGTTGGCTACCTGCCCCTCTAGGACCAATAAGCCTCTCAACTGTTCCCTTTAGTCTCCTTTGTGTCAGCGAGGGGCCAAGAATTGGGGGTCTGAGCTCCTGCGGCTCCTGCAGCTCCTGCGTGGTGCGGTGGTGCAGCAAGTGAAAGGCTTTTATGGTGGGGGTGGGAGGGGGCACAGCTGCCATCCCCTGAGGCGGGGACTGGATGGAGACACCTGTTGGTCCAAGGACGCTGTAGACAGCAATCTAGAGAAAGCCAGGGGAGAGCTGGAAGCTGGGGGTCCGTTCTCCTCAGAGCACCCCCGCTCCGTCCTGAGGCCCTCAGGTCTCCTGCGTCTCTTCCACTCCCCCTCTCGCCCTGCCAGCTTCTCTTAGTGATTCTTTCTATTATTAATGGATATTGAGCCCTTATAACAGGAGCTGGGAGAGACACATGGGAGGGGGCAGCAAAGGATGACATGAAGGGCAGGTGGCTGCTGGTGGAGGGGCCTGCCTCTCTCTCCCCGCCCAGGCGGAGCAGGCAGAAGTGGGCACGTCCCTATTCTTACCTCCTTGGTTCAGAGGGAGCTTGCTTGGCCCTCCCATGGTTCTCTCCCTTCTGGATGTTTCTCCAAATTGAGCTCTCTCTCTCTTTAACACCTTTCTTCCTGTGGAGCCCCGTGTGTTTCTACAGCCTCTGGGTTGAGGGAGGGCAGGACCAGATAATCTGGTTCTAGGTGACTTGAGAGAGGAGCAACTGCAGGGCCGGGCCTGCCCACAGCACCTCCTGGGGAAGAGGCTCCTGGCCTGGCTGGGCTGGGGGGCGGGGTGGAGGTGGTGGAGGGGGGGCGGGCCACTGGGAAGGATGGAAAGTGGGGGGAGCACTTTGGGACTCAAAGATGTCAGAAGTCAACGAACGTTGTGGATGTTTCGTTGGAGGAAAGAAGGATCCAGCACCTGATACTGGAATGACTTTTTTCACTCTTTGGACAAAGTCTGGACCTCAGTTCCACCTGGCCAAGCTTGAGGCTGGGGGAGAGCGGTGGAAACCCCAAAGGGGTCCTGGCAGCCTGTCTGTGCAGAGGAGGAGCCAGGAGTCTGTTTGCTGTGCATTCCCTTCCCCTTTCTCATCCCCCCCCCCCAAGCCTCTGGCAGGACCTCCCCTGGGGCCCCAGGTAGTTCTTCTCTTCCAGTGGAACTTCCCATAACTGTTCTGACTGATGTAACTCACAGTAAGGTGTGAATGGCCAAATGATTCTTCCCTGAGAATTCATTTTTCTTTTAAAGAGAGAGGGTGAATAGATTCCTCGACCCAAAGGGATCCCTTTCAGGGTACAGTTTTAGGCTGTGTGGGGTGGGGTCGGAAGCAGACACCCTGGGGTCACACCCCTGCATGACCCTGTGCAGTGAGAGCCTGATGACCAGCCCAGACAGGTGTATTTCCTCAAATCGGGAGAAACGTAACAAATGCACTGCCCATTCCATGTGCAGCCTTCTCTGGGAGGGAAATCCAAATCTTTGTTTTTAATACATATTTTTATTGATTTCAGAGAAGAAGGGAGAGGGGGGGAGAGATAGAAACATCAATGATGAGAGAGAATCATTGGTCAGCTGCCTCCTGCACACTCCCCACTAGAGGGTTGAGCCTGCCGCCCAGCATGTGCCCTGACTGGGAATCGAACCCGTGACCTCTTGGTTCCTGGGTTGACGCTCCACCGCTGAGCCGCATCGGCCGGGCAGGAAATCTAAATCTGGAGCCACGAACCTGTCTTCCCATCGTATCCCCTGCTCGGCTTTGATGAGGAACTCTCTTTCTTTCTTGTGCCTCCTTGACTTTAGGGTCCACCCTCAGGGCAACTGCACCCTGAGCACTGCCCTTGGTCCCTGGTCCTGGGATGTGGGAGGCAGGCCCTGAGCTTCTTTCTAGAGGTGGCACTAGGACCAGAGACCTGCAGGTCCCCTCAGACGTCCCCCTGTCCCTCCCCAGCCCTCGCTGGGAACAGGGTGCAGAAGAAGGTGCAAGCTTCCCATTCTTCACACACTCAGCTGCTCCTTCCTCTTCTCTGTCTGAAGCAGCCCTTGCTTTCCGTCACAGCTGCATAGCAAAGACGTGATTCTTTTAGAGAACTGGCTGTGTTTTTGAGTGCCGTCTTCCCAGATTCAATTTCAACTTACACTCAGTAGGATATGAGGTTGCCTGCTGCCAGGAGGTAGAACCTGGATTCTGGCCAGGTATGCCTCGGAATCAGAAAGTTTAAGGTGAGTGTTGACTCAGACAGACCATGAAACGATAAATTAAGCAGTCCTCCTTCACCCCTACCCATGTGCCCCTCCCTCCACAAACCCTGGGAATGGATGCCAAGCAGTTTGGTGGGCGCCCAGGCCCTGGGCCTAGCATCCATCACTGCTTCCTGCCTTCCGAGCCCCGTAGCGTCTAACAGCACTGTGTCTTGTGACCAACCCTTTCTGCCACCCTTGTCTATTGTGATTTTGAGCCAGCTGCTCCCCAAAGTCGCTGAGGACTCTTGCCTCCTGGGCAAGCAGTCAGTTTGGTTAGCACTCTGCAGACATAACTTAATGGGCAGGAATATATTTGACATTTGAAAGTTCTGTTCGTTTAGTTGAGTCATGTCCAGGCGTAAGCAGCAGGTCAGCAGGAAGCACCCATGTGATCCTGGAGGCTCCTCCTGTTTTCCTTGCAGTGGGGTCCCCAGTGCCTGTCTTCATCTTCCTCCCCCGGAAAGAAGAAATAAGTGGTTTCTTGACTCCTAAATGCCTCCTCTCCGGAGAAGGAACCCAAGGAGGGAAGAAGCAGCACTAGAAACGTCCCCAGATACTCCTCTCTGCAGCCCTCCACCTCAGGCACAAGTATAAACAGATGAGCAGTGAAAAGGTGGGGCGGGGACCGACTAAAGTGCTTGAAGAAGCATGACGTCACATATGCGCTGCCCTTTGCCCTCGATGTTCTGGGTCCCAGAGAACATGTTTCAACTGGCTTAAGAACTAGAACAGCCTTGGGGTACCTTTAAGTGGCTCAAAGGCTAGACCTCTGGGCTTCCCTGGGGGCCTCTGGATCATGATACCTTCCAGTTGCTATTTCATTGTCCCCAGTCCTTCCGACCTGAGTACAGAGAGTGTCATTGAGAAGTGAGGCTATTTCTCCCAATTCCTCTTCATAACCATGAAATGGCATTACACTGGCTGAGCGCCTGTGGGAAAGGACAAGACCTGAGCTGTTACCTGAATATTAAGATTGAAGGTAGCCCTAGCCGGTTCGGCTCAGTAGATAGAGTGTGGGACTGTGGACCGAAGGGTCCCAGGTTCGATTCTGGTCAAGGGCACATGTCCAGGTTGCAGGCTTGATCCCCAGTAGTGGGTTTGCAGGAGGCAGCCGATCAATGATTCTCTCTCATCATTGATGTTTCTAACTCCTTCTCCCTTTCTCTCTGAATCATAGATATATATATATATATATATATATATATATATATATATATATATATAA